CCCGTTTGAGGGTACATCGCATCGAGCCCAAGAGCTGGGTTTTGAACCTGAGACTTTCTGATGCTCAAGTCCAGGCTCTTGAGCCAGGCCTCTGAGGGGACTCGAGCCTGAGCAGAAGAACTGGCTGGGCAGAGAAGCTGGGGAGGAATTTCTTCGTTATAATCAGGAGCGGGTGGGGGCATCCTCTACTCTTTGGCCTGACCCTCTGAACCTGGGAAGAACTCTGGAGACCAGGATTATGACCAACCTCCTCATGCCCCGTCTCTTTCTTCTTCCTTGGAAGGTGCAGACACTGCAGATTACCCACTAGCCACCAGGTAAATAACCAATGGCCCTGACAACATCTCCTTCAGAGATGTGGCTAAGAAATACCTGAGTGTGTGTGTGTGTGTTGGGGCAACAGGGGCTATTCTGTTCTGAGGTTCACAGACATGGCCCACTAATAAAAAGCTCTGCTGTGGCTTGTAAATTTATTAGGAGAACCTGGTATAATTAATATTAGGGTGGGGGGAAGGGGAGCAGAGAGTCTTTGCTTCCTTTCCTTCTTTCAGAGATCCAGGCCGAACTACCGATGGGGATAATTAGCGCAGTCCAAACAGAGAAGGAATTAATGCTCCTGAAAAAGCTGTGATGAGGAGAGACAATGCTGGGCTAATTAGGGCCGCACCAAGCTTTATGACTGGGCTCCTGCTTCCACCATCATTAGGGGATTCAGAGATAAATTGGAGACTAATGTGGAGTGTTATAGCTAACAGAGCATTGACATTAATTTAGCAATTATTAGTATTATTATTTTGCCAGATGGTAACTGTACCTTTCTGCCTGATTGGTCAGGGCATGTGGCCCCTCTGAATGTGGAGATCAAGGCTGGGCTGATGGGGGGAGGGACAGACAGAACAGAAAGATTCTTTTCCCTCTACACCCTCTTCCTGTTTGTACCTGCAATTAGTGAGAGGAGAGGTGTGCCTGGGTCCACACGGAGCAAGAAAAACAGATCAGCAATAGAGAGAAGGGCGAGATGAGGTGGCGTCATATACCCGGAGCCTCCAGAGCTGAATGCTCAGCTCACCTCTACTTTCAAAGGCCCCTCTGATTTCAGTTCCTAAGTGTTGCCCCGTCCTATAGTCCCTAGAGACCTCTTTTCCTAAGCAGGACCAGCAGGGCTGCCACCCAGCTCCGTCAGGACATTTTTTACCCTGCTTTCCGCCACTCCAGACAGCCCTACACAGACCCTAAAGAAACCTGGCTTGATCCGGATGCCTATGTCTTAGTCCTAGTTATTTGCAGCCAAACGTTATACCCCCAACTCTGTGGACAGTGTGTGGACTAAGTAGCATTAGAACAGTTAGAAGAGAACACATCTTTTGTACACAGCTTGGAGGGATGGAGCATTCTGGATCTACCATCCCCACTCTTGAAGTTCCCACAATCAGAGGGAGAAGGAACTTCTAGAACTGTAAATCCAAGGGCTCTACAACTCCTAGATACTGAACCCTGATTCTAGAATCCTAAAGCTCTAGACACACCCCAGAGTCAGAATATCATCACCATCGGTTCTAAAGGATCGTGCCCTCAAAGAAGGCAAAGTCTACAGAACTCCTTCCCTCCAGCAAGGAGTGAGGGAGTAACTGATTATTCAATTATAGAAACAGGATTTTTGTGTTTTGATGAAATGCTGTGCATTTAATTGACCATTACAAGCCAGAAAAATCTCTCTGCTGCAAAAGGCCAACTTCAAAGCCAGGGGACTGCATCACAGAACATCTTCAGAGTCATTAGAGAAGTGAGCAACTATCACACACATCTCATGGCCATCTGGAAGCCAGAGAATAACCATTCCTGGCGGCCAGCCTGGGAGGGGCAAGGCAGCTCAGGTCTCCCATCAGTTTTCTGCATTGTCTGGAACACCTCTGAACCTCTGCTTACTACCTCAAATCCAGAACCCATGCTACCCACACCCAACACTCTGCAGCTTGGCTTATGGAAAAAGTTCATTCACCTCCACAAGGCAAATGACACAAAGAAAGGTAGAGATCTGCCTGTCAGCATCCTCTTGCAGGGGTGGGGGGAGTGTATTAAGGAGGAAAACAGACCTTTCCCTTTAGAGTTTTTAAAGAAAAGGGGGAACTTGCTTTTAGCTGGGACAGTTTGTGTAGAGGTGTTTCTAAGTCAGTGTCTGATGGACTGAGATTTCCTGTGCAATTCCTAGCACAGACCCCAGCATATCAGAGGATCCCAGTAAATGATAGTAGAGTCTGAATCTCAATTGTTGAATCTCAGGGTATTACGAGAAATCCCATGAGCTGGCAACTTAAAGCAGGAGGAAGGCAGGAGAAAACATACAATGGTAAAGGGAACTGGGCATGCTCTAGCCACTTGCATTTTTCATGAAACTGCAAATGAAAAGATCCAGCATTTCTCTGACTGGAGAATCTGGAGCCAGGCAATGGCTCTGGGATGCAGGGAGTAGGCTGAGAGGCGGCATACCTGGCAGCCTGGTCCTAACTCCACAGCATCTCCCCAGACCCCGTGCTCACCTGAACCCCAAGATCCCGAAGCCACTCTCAACCACTGTCTTTCTTTTGCTATGATCAAGGGTCTCCTTATGCCTCCCCATCCCTTTCAGCCCCCCAGCTTCATGCTCCCCACTGGCCCCTTCCCCCCCGGCTTCCTGAGGCTTGTGACTCAGCAGCCCAAGTTAAAGTTCCCCAGGGCTGACAACTCAAACTCTCTGAAGCAGCCTGCAGGGAAGGCATACTGATTCATCTGGGCCCACAGGCTCTCACTCCTCAGCCTTCTCTCACCCTTGGCCTGGCTGTCCAGGTACCTGTCATTTCAGACTACAGGGTGTCCCTTTGGAGTCAGAACACCAGCGCCTTCCAGTATCAAGATGAGCTATATACATACACTGCCCCCAGTCCCCCCGGCCCTCGGCCCCCCACCCCCAATTATTTCTGCCTTGGACAGACAGAGGGGCAGCCTCTATCCCAGGTGGAACTCGACAGGTGTGTTCTCACCTTGAATTATCCCCTTTAGGGTTTGAAGGCTCAGGACCAACATTAAGGGCCCCACTTGAGATGGACATTGGAGGAGAGGATGGAAAGGAGCTGAGGAGGCAGGCAGGAAGAAACTCCTTGTCTCAGGCAAAATTGTGTGTCTGGTGGATATGGGGAGTTGGGTGGTGTTGCAGGTGATGGCACTAGAGAACCAAAGTCTAACAATACTTGCTGGGCCTAATCTATCCTGAGATTCTTCAAGAGGAAGAAATCAGCCTCTCCAACCTCCCTCACTGTACCACCCTCTTCAAAGTTCTTTATGTTTAACCCCAGTGCCTTCTGCTGCAGTAATCAACCCATTGATTAAACATTGCCAGGGCGAGAGAGAGCCAGCGAGTAGCGTCAGCCCCCTACAACCCACGGAGGGCTGAGGTGGGCTCCATTCCCCCAAGGATGGACACAACCCCCTGGCACACACAAACCTCCCCTTGGCCCGCTACCCTCCTCCTTCTCGTCTACCCCTCAGCGGCCCTGATCCTAACCCAGGACTTACCTATATCTCTGACCTTTAACCTCAACTGAAAACAGAACCTTGGAACCTGCGGCCTCTGGGGAGTTTACCCCACCTGTACCCGCTCCCAGAACCGCTGCGCCAGTCCCCGGCTTCTGGTCCCAGGAGAAGAACGTGGAGACAAAATTCCCGCCTCTCACGGCCCCTTCCTCCCCTCCCGCGGGCTCACCTCCGCGTACCCCTAGGCCCAGGCCCGCTGGAATCAGGGTCGGGGGACAAGGAGGGGTGGAGTCTGTGGAGCCAAAGGAACCCCGGCGCCTGGGTCCCTGCAGGACCTCCCCACCCCCACTACGCGTTCTCCCGAGGCCTCGCACTGCCCCCTGGCCCTCCCCGCCCAGGGAACGCGACCCGGTACTCCCTCCCGCCCAGGACCCTCCAGACGGCGGGATCCGGACAAAGAGCCCGGCTGCAGCGGGAGAGCGGGGCCGCACGGCGCCGGTGCGGCAGGTAAATACCCGGGGCTGGCGGCCCCCACGCTGCCCACCCTCCTCGGCTCCGGCCGCCAGGGCGCGACACGCCATTCCCGCTGTCGCGATTCCCGGGAGACGCCGCCCCTGCGCGCCGGGCCCGGGCCCCGCGGGGCTTGGGCTCCGGACTCACCGGCTCCGGCGAGCTCGACTCGGCTCGGGCTCCCGCCTGGACTCGGCGGCCGCCCGGGGCTGCGTCCGGCGCAGCGTCCGCGCCGCGCGGGCAGGAGGCGCCCGCTTGGCAAAGTCGGCGAGAGGCACCTGCTCAGTCGCGCACTGGCCTGGAGTCTGAGTGAGTCAGAGAGACCGAGGGAGCGACTTATAGGGGCGGGGGTGGCGGGAGGATGCCGTGACACCCTCCCCCACCCCGCCCCCCGCCCCCGCCCCCCAGCCGAGACGCAGAAAGCCACTCGCAGCCGGAGAGACACCCGGACACAAAGACCTCATGTCAGCTGCAGACGCAAGTTTCTCCCTGAGAGACCAGGGGGCTCGGGCCGCGTTCCCCGAGAGAACAGACAAACGGACGAACAGACCAACGGATGAATCCCGAGATCTCGACACCCCCGAGGAGACGAGTTTCTTCCTGAGCCTGGATGTCCCCAGTCTCCTGCTCACTCCACGGCCCCTTCCCCTGGCAGATCGCCTGCAGGGCGAGCGGAGAGACGCGAGGGAAACTAAGGACCCCAGAGGCGCCGCGTCCCGGGAGCCCGGCTGTCCACGGGGTTCCTGCAGAGTCACACGGGAGGGTGCAGGGGGATGCTGTCCCTCCCGGGTCCCCCTCGCGTCTCTCCGCTTGTCTTGCGGGCGATGGGCCAGGGCACTGGCTGAAGCTGGTTCCCAATCCAGAATCCTGAGCCGGAGTTCTCTCTCTAGGCTCTGGGGCTCCCGAGGCCAGGGCTTTGGCGGGGAGGGGAGACAGCCAGGGCGAGAATCCAGAAAGGGAGGGGGCCTCGGGTTTCCCGTTACCTGCGTCGGCAGCGCTCGGACTCCGCTCTAGGGGCTGTAGCTCGAAGCTCCGACAAGTCTCCACGTCCAGCCCGAGAGGGGGCGGCCGGGCCCGGCACAGCGAGGCCAGGACCGCAAGCGCCGCCTGGCACTGAGGCCCCCCGGTCCCCCACACCCTGCTCATGCCCCAGACACCCCGGCCCTCTGAGCAGACGCCAGAACTCGCGCCGCGGCCGGACCCGGAGTGGGGGGGGGGGGGCAAGGCGGCCCCAAGAAGACCCTACCGGCAGCGGCCCCTGCGGCTCCGTTCGGCTTTTAATCACTTCCCGGCAGGGTCTCCGCCCCTCACGTGGCATCCCGCGGCAGCTGGCAAGTCTGGCGCCTCACGGCCGCCCCCTCTACAATCAGGGACCGATCTGAGTCCCGGCGGGCTCGAGGCAGGGAGCTCTGTTGTCCCGCATCCTGAAGGGTGCAAGGCCAGTGAAAGAGCCTGGGATCTAGCTGCGCATTCACTCCTGGTGTGAGCTTGGGCCTCTCTGAGCCTCAATTTCCCTCTCTGTAAAATGGGGTATAATGACTACGAGTGCTTCACGGGCTGCCTGGGGATACAAGATAGTGTCTGTGAAAACACTGGGTAAATTGCCACACGCCAAATACGTGGCAACAAAATAAATAAACCCATTAAAGAAAGAAGGATGACCCATCTGGGGTGGGAGAACCTTGGCCAAGGTTCCTGATGGGAGAAGTTAGTCAGACTTGCCCCAAGTCCCAGCTTCGGAGGCTGAAGACCCTAAGACTGCGGGGCTATGCGAACTGCAAAAAGACTTTCTGAGCCCCGCAATCCTACGGTCCGATGTACCCGCACGTTGCTATGGCGACGGGAGGCAGCGGCCGTCTCTCTCCATGGCAACGGGAGGGGAAAGTTTCTAGCGAATAGGAATGGGGGCATTTCAAGAGGGCGCTCCGTTCCCGCCAGACCCACCTCCCTGCATCAGTGCAACACCACTGGAGAGAATGTGTCTTGCTATTAAGCGTAACAAGGGCCAGAGAGACCGAAAACTAAACGGGAGGATTGAGGCTAGACTTAAGGCAGAACTCCCCTCCAGGAACTGTGGCGTGAGGTCCAGGAGCCGATTGGCTGAACTGCTCAGAGGAGCCTCACTCAGCCCAGGAGATCTGTGGGCCGCCACCAGGCGCGGCCTTGCGGGGGCCCTGTCACGGAAGTCTTGCATCCTCGGCTTGTCTGCAGGTGGGCCCCTGTCGGCGGGTGGGGCTCACCCAAAGCTCCAGGCACGGCTCGGGTCCCTTTGCCTTCCCGGAGCTGGGAAGGAAACTTTAGCAGGAGCCTTCGGAAGCCGCGGTGCTAATGTGTACCCGGGTTGCGGTCGGGGAGAAGGGTCCTTCCTCCTAATTAACATGCTAATTGGAAGTGGCCTGGGCGGTGACTCACGTTGCGTAGGGAAGAGATTTGAAGACTCCTAGCGGTCGCCACCAAGCGCCAACTGCCCCAGCCGCGCTAGCTGGCCCTTGGACTTGAATCCCCGGGCAGCTAAAGCCCAGGTTATAGAGGGCCAAGCCGAGGCAGGAGAGGACCCTGGCCTAAAGAGGCGCGTTTTCCCGTTTGCACACGCTCCCTGGATCTGTCCACGGTGCTGAAGGCCCAGTTGACGCAACTGTCGCGTACGCGCAAGGCTAGCGAAAGGGGAGACGGGGGCAATTGCAGCTTCCACCCTGACCTCTGGAGCCTGAGAGAGGAGAGGGCTAGGAACTCAGGCGCGAGAGACTGAGCAGGAGTGATCCTGGAGACACTATGCAATCCCGGCTGCCTTCCTGATGGAGGTGCTCAGTTGCTGTTCCAAGAACAGATGAGGCTGTGGAGTCCCCATTCGCCTCCCAGTGCTTCTAGAACCCACCTGAGGAGCCTGGAGGTCCCGTGACCTTCCCCTCCACCACCCGATGAAGAAATCAGCACCTGGAAGAGACAGGTGCTCAGAGGCTTCTTGTTACACGCTCATTAGCAGTTTCCCAGGCGGCAGGTTTGTGTTTACATAAAATACAATGGAGAAGAGATGCTCTCTGCCCATGTTTACGGCAACTCTGTCACTCCGCGGCGATTTCTCCCTCCCCCTCTTGAGTTCCCGGGGAAATTCGCAGAACAAAGCGCCTTGTTTTGCCTTTGCAGAGAAGGAAAAAACACAGGACTGTTCCAAGGGCCCAGGCTAGTGATGCAGGGAAATCAATATTTCGCTTACAACGAGTCGGGGACTTTGCATCCAAACTGAAGGCAAAGGAGCCTGTTCGGAGCACAGCAGGTGGCAGAAGCAGAGAATTAACAGATAATTTCTCATTGTTCCCGGATTCAGCCTCCACATGCAGCAGGCGGTTCTGCAGCGTCTCTGGCGCCCCAGCAAAGGCTCCGGACCTGGCATTTCTCAACCGAACAGGGAGAGGGAGGTTCTGCTCTGTCAGGGCTGCAAGAAGGGGCTGGGGCTCCGGGGTTAGTCAATAACTATTGAATTTGGAGTGTGCGAGTGAGTGTGTGCGAGAGAAACAGAAAGAAACAGAGATAGAGACAAGAGAAAGACAGAAGCACAGAGACAGAGAGGCAGAGGATGAGACACAGATACATACACAGATATAGGAGATACAGAGAGAGAACAGAGAGACAGAGGGACTGACACATATAAAGGGACACTCATTGCGAAAGAGAGATAAAAGAGAAATGTATTGTTTGCTTACATTAAGAAAAAGCTCCACCCTAGTTGTCATCTCCATGCCCTCTCCCCAGATTAATTGCTGATACCTGGGGTCACATAACCAGCCACAAAGTAGAAAAAAAAATCTTCATATAAAGATGGGAAGTTTTCCTCTCTAGAACTCCTTTCTCCCACAAGCCCACTCCGAAAACACGTCTATGCTTCTTTCCATATGAAGAGATGAAATTCAGACTCCCAGGGTCCCACTCAGACCCAGGGAGGGAAGGAGAGAAAAGAAGTGGAATTGTTGCCCCTCACTCTGTCTCTTAGAGAAAGACTATTCTGAGTTTCAGTTTAGGGGTGGGGAGGAGAAAAGGAGGAGGGGAGACGGTCAGCAGGACATAGTGACAAACAAGGGTACTGGGCTGGCACCTGGAGGCTAGATCCAGAACTGGTGCACCAAACCAGCCGTGGGGCAGTCACATATCATGTCAGGACATCACTTTCCTTATCTGCAAGAAGATGAAGTTGGATGAGGAGCTCTTTGAGGTTCCTTTCAGCAACAACAGTCTAGGATTTTATATGAGAGGAAAGGAGGAGGCTGTTTCAGGAAAGGAAGGAAGGAGGCAATTGAAGAGCAGGTTTTCCTGGGTTTGAAGACCAGGGTGGTGTTACAGATGTCCAGGCTCACTTTGGGCCTCCCCTCCCCCATTGCTCTCATCTCATCTACAGCCACGGTTGGAGCATCCTAAGTCTGGGGCCCCCCAGGCCAGACAGAAGCAGCGAGGTGGGAGGACGGCTTGGTGGTGCAGCGGTTAAGTTCGCATGTTCCATTTCGGTGGCCCAGGGTTCCCTGATTCGGGTCCTGGGTGCGGACATGGCACCGCTTGGCAAGCCATGCTGTGGTAGGTGTCCCACACATAAAGTAGAGGAAGATGGGCATGCATGTTCGCTCAGGGCCAGTCTTCCTCAGCAAAAACGAGAAGGATTGACTGCAGATGTTAGCTCAGGGCTAGTCTTCCTCAAAATAGAAAAAAAATGAAGCAGAGAGGGGGATTGGAGGTGGAGTGGGAAGCAGAATGAGAGGAGGTTTGAGGCAGAAACCAGCAGCCTCCCACTCCTTTGCCCTCCTTTCCTCAGAAATAGCCAAAGTGCACATCCCCTTCCCCCACCCCAAATCTCCAAGGCAGTGGCCTGACTGCCCTTGGACAGATTCCCACCCTGCTCTGAGCAGCAATGTCCTATTGAGTTATGCTACAAATAAAATAAATTAAAACAAAATAATAATTTCTAAAAAATTAAACCTCAGTAGGAAATTGCTAATGCTGTAGGCGGGAAGAATGAGCTCCTTTGACATGAGCCGATGTGTCATATTGTCTTTCCATCTCAATGCAATTTCTAAATAGGGAGCCCTTTCCCCATTCCCTCCTCCCCTCCAAGCCCCCAGCAGAGATGTAAAGGGAGCAGTCTAACGTTCATAGCTGAATTGTCTGACTTGCAGGGAAAGACACAGAGCAATAGACACAAGGGGACCCACTGCTTTGCCAAGAGAACTGGAGCCAAGAGGGCTCTGATCCAACCTTGAGGGCTCCTGATCTCCTCTCCCCACTACCCCCATCTGCTTACTGAGGCTTGTGGCCACTTTCCGCAAGAGTTTTAAATTTACTCTAAGAAAACAGACATCTATTGAACCTGTTCCGCTTCTGGTGGAGAATGAAGGTGATGTCCTACATTGGGGAGTGGGAGTCACTTTACACCATTATTTGGAACAAACTATACTATGGAATCCCCATGGGATTTCTGACAGAACAGCTTTATCAGTATTTCCAGTGTACGTCACCATCAGCCCCCCATCCCCCACACCAACATAGCAACTCTAGCCAAAGCTGAGTAACTTCTGCAAATCAGGCCATTCCAAGTCATCATAAGAGTTTTCAAGAATCTCTCCTTACCTGAAAAGATGCAGAAAACATGGCAGAGCCCTAAGTCAATTCCCAAGTATTTGGGGGAGTCCGGTCTTGCTTTTATTTTAGAGAAGATTCTCGGCAATCCAAACCTCCTGAGCCAGGTGTATACTTACCTCTTTCTCATTTCTTCCCTATTTCAGAGGTCTCATCTCTGTTCTGTGCTCTCTGCTCAAGCCTACAATCTTCCAGATCAGACTTGGGAAGACCAGGCAGGGTTTGCTACTTCCAGCAGGCTGGGGACTTGGGAAGCAGAGACAGGTTCAAGGTCGGAAGGCAATATCATCCCTGAAACAATTTTAGAGTTTGACCTGACCGTGGTGGATCCAGGGCTCTCTCTGCGTTCTTTGAGATGTGAGAATGATAGTGGAGGGGAAGGGCTAGGAAACAAGCCAAGTGTGCTCCTCTTAATACCAACCTTGTGCAGAAGAAAGAGCGCAGGTTTTGGAGTGGACAGACCTGTGTTCAAATCCTAACCCTATCACTTACCAACTGTATCACTTTAGGCACTGCACTTTAGCTCTCTGAAGCTCCTCTTCCTCA